TGTAGGTAGATAAAAAGGTGGAGGATGGATGAGTGGTAGGTAGGTAGGTAGGGAGATGATTGATAGATAGATGACAGACAGACAGATAGATAGATAGATGAATGGATAGGTAGATGATAGGTAGATAGATAGATAAATGAATGGATGGATGATAGAAAGATGGATAGTAAGTAGATAGATAGATGGATGGATGGATGGATGATAGGTAGGTAGGTAGACAGACAGACAGACAGAATGAATATGAGAATGAATAAGTTTCCTCGCAATCAGGACCAGTCGCAGGCTGGAGCCCACAAAAGCAAAGCAAATGCTGAAGGACGTGAGGCAGACCGACGTGCCTAGGGGGTGCTGTCAGCCAGCCTTCGTGCATCTCTGCCCCCGAGCTGGCCACTAGGGCCCCGCCGAGCATGCTCAACCAGACCACGTGACTCCATCTCCGTGGAGACATGGCTCCATGGAGGAGAAGTTACAGGCCCTCGTCCACACCAGCTAGAGACTTCATGTGACAGACTTCACAGAAGGACTGGAGAAGTTTCAGATGCCAGATCAGAGTTCCCAGCAAGCATTGACAACAGAGACACCGAGGGGGTAAGAAGCACAGAGCGGCCGTTACGACACAGCCGTGGGGGTGTGTGCTGTGCGGCACCGGGGTGCAGTGAGAAAGACTGTGATCATTCCTCATGATGCCGGGCGGGGACCAGGCTTATCGTAGTGATCACGTCCTAAGTTACATAAATGTCTAACCACTCGGTTGTACCTCTGAAAGTCATAGGATATTGTATGTCAACTATAACCGAAAAATAAAAACAAATTAAAAAATAATAGAGAAATCAAGGATTGAATTTTAACAGTGTCCCCCGGAGAGCCCCGCTCACCTATAAAGCCTCGAATCTTTTTTTTTTTTACTATAAACTAAAAAAACACAGTTTAAGCTTAGATCATATGGCTTTTCAACTGATTCTGCAATGAATAATGTCAACATGTGAGATATGATATAATTTGGTTTCATCTTCACAATTACTTAAGGTATCTATATATAGATTTGTTTTGAATAATAATTTTTATCTTTGCTATCTAATTGGTAATAAAGAATTTTAAGAAATACTTCAGTAAAGATCTGTAGAAGGTAGAATATAGTGAAGATGGACAGCTATGACAACTCACGTTCCAGCGACCACAGGACATCAAACTGTTGTCCATCTCGACCACTAAAACACCAGTCGGACACTGACTCAGACTGGTGGCAGTCTTGCTTCTTCCTGACAATGCCTTGAGAAGTCTTACAACAATTCTATCAAATTATGGATTTATTTTTTTCTCACAGCAAGATTTTTAACGATAGAGAGGGTTACTGTATCATAAATATAAGGATATTTAAAAGAAGATAAATCAGAAAATATTCTTGTTCAAATAATACCTTTCTGGCCTCTGGATGAGCTCAGTTTGAGTCTCTTTGAATTAATGATGGGGTCTGATGGCCATTACGAAGTATAATGATTTAAAATTTTTATTAAAAAAAATTATTTCATGAGTCACTCAGAAGTATGGATAGTGTTGCTTAAAAGTAGGTAGATATCGTATGTGAATTCAGTTACAAATAAATTATACTCTTCCCTTTAATTCTGTCTTATTCTACCCATTCAATACCCCTGATGCTTTTTTGACCTCAGGTTTTTTCATGAACTCTACCTGCTGCCTCTTGGGTGGTCCTCCAATATCCCACGTACCTCGGGGACTTAGCACGGGCTGTTTATGCCTGGAACTATCCAGGGAGAAGCAGAGCTTGCTCTCTCATTTCCTCTGGGTGTGTGATCGAATGTCACCTTCCTCACTGGCTTTTTCTGTCTACCCTGTAGAAAATGGCCATTTATTCTCCTTTCCTCAACAGAACTTTGCTTTGGTTATTGCTATGGTCACTGCACTAGAGCAGTGACTGGAAAGCAACGTTACAGGTGGTTAGTAAATATTTGTTTAAGTGATCAACTTCATTAGACAGTTACAGCTTGTTATGGGCAAAGCATTGTATTACGCACTGAGAATGCTTTAAACAAGAATAAATGGACCTCGAATGAAAAAAAATCTTAGAGAATAGTGGAATAAACATAATTTTCAATGTATAATCCAAAACATAGAAAGTAAGAAAAGGTTACACTATATTATCTGGAAAGAGAAGGGAAAGATAAATTTGAGTAGGAACTGGGAGAGACAGGCATGAAGGGTGAGACGCTGGAGCGAGACCTTGGCCAGGGCCGGGGTCTCTACACGGCGATGCTGGCGAAGGCCACCTGCCAGCAGGAGGGTGTGCGGGACGGAGGAGAGTAGGTGAGTTCTGGGGACAATCCCGCAGCCCAATGACGCCCAGGACGCGTGGCCTCAGAAGGAAGCAGCAGCGAGTAACCATGTCCGTGTGACAAGGGTTGTGTCTGATTTTTCGGTCTAGTGCTTCCCCACATTTGTGACTACGAGGACACTTTTCTAAAGCATTGAAACATAATGATGTCCTCTGTGATAGCTTTTTAAAAATAAAATATAAACAACTGGCATTAAGAATGATCAGAAATGTAGTACCATGTTTTATATATATATATGTTTTTAAATTAAACATACCATTTTAGAACCAAAAAAATAGTATGTGTGTATATGACATACCCATGGGAGCATATACATATGTTTTTCATCATCATCCAGGCAATGATGAATAGTCGTATGGATTCTAGTGCCTCCTGCAGTACACCCATGTGACATGGATCTGAGCATGAGCCCAGAGCCACCGTCCAGGCCACGGGGACCATCCAGTATCTTTGAGGAGGGGAATTACGTGAGGAGGTCTGGGCTATGGCAGTGCCGGGGGTCAGAGACGGAAGACACCTCCGAAGCATCTCCGCACAGTCCGCTAAAGCTATGGAAGAAAAGGCAACCCACAGAGGGAGCAGACGCCGGCCAAAATGACGGGCAGAGCACCGGTGACAGCTCGTGCTCATGCTCCCGAAGCGACCTCAAGTGTTCCCGGAAGGAGGTGGGGAAGGTCCCCCAAGCATATCAGCAGCGACCAAGAAAAAAGTATCTGTTCCTAGTTAGTGAAATAAGATAAAATTAGATGGACAACGTTTTCTTAGCTGCGGTCTGGGGATTGTGCTATTTTTACAATTTGATATCTTAATATCATGTAGACCCTACTCTAGTTTTTGTGTAAGACTCAAAAACATATTCAACTTTAAGACTTTATCTCTGTTTGTTTGTTTGTTTGTTTGTTTTTTAAAAAGATTTTCTCAAGGTCATCTGGCATTCCGGCAAGGGAGTTTACAGGTATACCTTGTTTTAGACATAATGGGAGTTTTTGAAAAAGTAAACATAAACGGCACACTTTAATAAATAGAATGATGTAATAATGCGTGAAAAAAGTCCATATGTAAACTCTAAAGGAAAAGTTATTTGTACTAATGAGTCCGCCTCAAACTAATCTGTCAGAACAGGTTTCCAGTTATTAGAGTTTCTTAAAGTGGTTTCTCCCTGTTTAGCTCTGGCCAGTTCGATGTCTGAGATATGCTAACATTTTTCAGTATCACTCCGCAAATTCTGTACCATTATGCACCTGTAAGTTCAGCGATGAATGAACTACACTTGTTTTGTTTTCCATCAGACGCAGGCAGGGGTCCTCTGCCTTCCCCGCCCCCTCCCTTACGGGAAATTACAAACAACCAACCTACAGAGGAGTGAGGACCGGGTTTCAAAGGCCCCAGGAATTCTCAAGCGCTCAGTGCGATGCACACCTCCGACGGTTTTGCAGGTGTGCCTGCGGCACCTGTGTCGCCGTGCGAACCCCTGGCAGAGATGGCTCGGCTCTCTTACTGTTCTCGTCCGCTTCTCTCAAAGAAAGTGGCATTATTCTTTCCAGAGGACATTAGATTAAATCTTTATGGCATGAGAAGATGAGGAAGTTACGCGCATACTTTTTCAATTTTAAAGCAAGTCATGAGAACATTTTCCTTCTTTCCCACACTGAGATTTTAAGTGTGCAATTATTGCCTTAATTGGATTACGGCTGCCTCTGGGTTAGTTTATGCCTTTCCAAGATGAAAACACGCATAAAAGATATGATTGAAAATGCAATTGCACTGGATTCTGATGATGGGATAATTCAGATATTTTTATATACCCAGTGGACAGCAAACAATTCTAGTACATTCCACTTTTTGCAAATATTATCAGCGTAAGATAGAAATTCATTTAAGGAGTCTATTTGCTTTTATTGCCAAGCGTTCTTTATACTTTAATTTTGTTACATTCCCGCTCTCTCATATTTTATATGATTTGAATATAGAAACAGTTAATGCACCACAATACAGCCGACTGACACAATTAAACATAAGTAACACATTAGATTTTTTTCACGCGACATCGCTCTGGCTACCCCGCCGTGTGCATGGCTGGGTAATTATACATCTCCCGACTTGCCTTACGGTTTCTTCCTGCTGTTTAATCGCAGACCTCAGCCAGCACAGTTTAGGGGGGAGACTCGCTATGATTTTTCCGTGAGTCTTTTATTTGCCATGTGCATTAAGGCGATGATCACCCGCATAGAAAAAAAAACGAGGGGGGTGTATAAAGACACAGAAGCAAAGGCGAAAGATGGTTCAAGTGCGTGCGGCATCGAGACTCACAATCGAACCAGGAAATCACATGGAAGTAATCAGCAGTAGATCCGTACTTTGTACCAATCATATTTATAAGAGACACGTAGCCGTTACCATGTGTCGTTTCTCAGGCACGAGAAAGAAAAGGCATCAAAAGGCAAATCAGGCATTTAAACCTGGCTGGCAGCCCTAGCCCTCCGAGCACACTCTCTGGTGCATAAAACTTCTTCGAACAAGAGAAATGTTAGCGTTCAGGTTGCAGGTGACAAAGGGACCAAAGGGTACATTATCACACTCAAAAAACAGCATGTTTCTGTCATTCTTTGGCGTCTGACACAGTAATTGTGGCTGACGGTTCTTCTGTGTTTTAAAGTATCTGATAGCATCTGAGGACCTCAGAAGGAAGAATAGAAAGTGTCGCCTTCAACTACAGAACAAGTCACCTGTCTAAGACGGTGGATAGGGTCGGTGACAGGACACACCGGGCAACGCTTCTCTGAGACAATAGAGAAGATAAAGTGGTAAAGAGTTGTGCTTTCTAGAGGAAGCTTTCGTCGGCCGGCTGTTCGTGACAGGCATACTGCTCTGCCATAAAACAGTTTTATTATCAGACTCTGATTTTTAGCTAAATCCTAGTGGCTTTCCCAGTCCCATAATCACCTTTGTTCTGGACTTTCGGCCGGGGTGACTATGCTGCTCCATCTCCGTCAGAATCGGTCCCTTCAGGGCAGATGACAGATGGAGGACCCCTTTTAACCCTTTGAGATGGTGCCTGTAGTGAATTCTCTTAGGAACAGGCTCTGGACCAAGAAGTTTAGCAATGAATATCCTGTTAAATATTCAGCTTGTCGTGCACAATTACCTCTCCCCGTCCATTCTGAACTGTTTCATTTCCTCCGAGAGTTATCACTGAAACTGGGTGAATAAACAGAAGTTTCAGGCTCCCCTCCCAAACCTTTCAATGGACTTCCAGGAAAGAAGATCAATCACTTCTAGACGAGCGAGCGAGCGAGCCCAGCCTTCTGTGCTCGTGCCTGAATGAAGGATGCTGAGCTAGACCGACACTGCATTTGATCTGTTTCGCTGTTGATTTTGATTTTGCAAACCTTTCTAAGGGTTTCCATAGTAACAAGGGAAATGCCCACTCTCTCCCCACAACGTCTTGCAAGCATGTAGCTGGGAAAAAGATAAAGGTTAGGAGAGAAAAGCTACAATGCCCTTTCTGCTCCCGGGATGTGTCTGAAGAAGTCCTGGTTAGTCTTTTAATAAAT